CCTTTGGCACCTGACCACAGGGGACACTTTCAAGAAATTAATAATAACAATTTATAGTCCAAGACGCATGGCTCCAGTCAATCCGTTGCATTAGGTTAAATTTTTCACCTGGTATTATTTTACCAATTTAGCTTTTGGTGCAAAGAGCCCAAACAGGAACAGAACATTTCTAATATTAATGATCATCTTGACTTGAAACCAACAGTGTATATCGTAACCATTGCTACCCGGCAGGAATAAAAGAAAACACGTTTGGCTCAATAACACTCAATAAGTTGGGCACCAAAGAACGTTGGATCTTTGAAGGTAAGAAATGATCATATTTAATGCATGGATAACTTAAGTTTGACTTTCATTCCATGATATAAATTGAATATCAACCCGTCACTCCTCTACTATTGTGTACTTGAAATAAAACGAAAATGAAATTTACCGAGCTTCCAAATGTGGGTATAACAAACTTTTGGCGAAAAAACAGCTTCAGCTATTTGAAATAAACAAGATCATTATCCTTAATTTTTAGTTTTCTACAACGTGTTTACTTCTTGAACCTTTTCTCAGCGATATTTGTTTTATGTTTATAATGACACTACTTCTCGAAATTGTAGTTCCATCATTAACGTAAATAGAGAAAAGTGCCAAATTATAAAAAGTCAGTGCTGGCAGTTCCAAGCTCGTCACAAATTATGAAACTCGAAGCGACGGGAAATTTCATAAAGCGATGACAGAGGATTTAAAACAGTGACAAAGCCCGCTGTTTGGGTTCAATTTGCGGTAAAGGAAAATAGAGTTGATGGCAAAAATCTACTTCATTTGAAACATACAACTTCCCAAAAATTATGTTTTTTTTTCTGTACTTATAAAGATTTCCTTTCAACAATTGTTTTGTCCTGTCCCCAACTTAAACTGATATGCAGTTCGTTTGAATCCCGTTCATATTATGACAGAAGTGATGATTTGATATAGAAGAACCTTGAAAAATATGGAAGTTAATTTGCAAGGCTCCCAATAGGAGAATGAGTCGGGAACTAAATGTTGACCTGCAGGTCTTGTTTACCTTAAGCAATCCTAATGTATCGAGACATAGGTCGTAAGTTTCTCAAAAAAAAAAATGATGGGATTTCTGTAGTTTAACATCTACCGTTTTACAGGAAATTTATTGTTTATTCAAACTCAAGAGCTTATTAGAACTCATCATTAATTAATCTTGACGGTAATGAAAGTGAGGGGAGATAAAATGACTAATTACTGAGGACTTCAAACAAGAAAACCATCTTTAACTTGTTGCGTTCCTGAATTGTTTAGAGTAAGTACGAGGGTCAAACAAGAAAACATTTTGCTCGATGTAGTTTAGTGGGTGGCACAGCTTAACAACTATAAACACCATAATCGAAATTCAAAAGGGAGTTTCCTTTACTAATTTCGTCTGCTTAGAACAAGAGAGTCACAATCCATCATAGAACGTGGCTTATTTTATAATTTCTGATTTATCTCAAGATATAGTCCAAATTAAGAATTCATGCTTTTGGAAAATGAAAGTGAACTGCGCGAGTGCAAGGCTAATGTTTTCTTTTCAGCGGATAAGGTTACGCCAACCTGTCTGGTCCTACACACCGATTACCATTATCCGTATGATTGCGTGAGCGGGAATATCGGTACATAAGCCGGATCTATTTTTTTTACCATGTTTTGCGAGTATTGCTTTTTGTCAATTATTTACGCTTCGGTCAATTTTATAAGGTGTTTCCCCCTGATAATGAAACAAAAAATAACACAAAATAAAATAAATTTAAAAAAACGCTGAATCTATGGATCGATCTTGTAAATTGGAAAGTGTAGTTCTCGAGGGAACTTGACTTTTGATTGCATTGTCGGAGTATGTTCACCCAATATTCTCAAGAATATGTTTACGATGTTCCTGTCTTAAACGCACTCCATTGAATGTAATTATGAAGCAATTGAATGTTATGGCAATTTGTGTAGCAAAACCCCTGAGTATAATCAGTAGGTTAACACCAAAAGAATCGTAGCTCGCCAAATCCAAAGTCTTCCCATAAAGCAAAACAGAAAACATCACAAATGCGTTTATAAGCAGAAATTAAAACGCGTGCCCACGTATTTTATTTGCTTCAATCATTTCAATGGCACTGAACCGACTGTTATTTACTTTGTTAACATCCCATTTTCAATGCAAAAAGGTCGGTTCCTATCACTTAATCCATTATTGAATGCGGGCGGTGTTACAGTTCTGTGTAAAACTAATTTATTTCAGCCCGTGTTATTTCCCATCACTCTTTATTTTTATTTTGCTGATTCACAACAGTTGATGCACTAAGCTTATAACGGGTCGTTATGTCAAAACTTAAATCCTGAACTCATTAAAAATGACTTTTAAAGGAAGGAACTGTAGTTTTGTAAACTTGGTTTGTAGATATTAATGGTATTTGGCAAGGTTATGCTATTATGTTAGTTGATTATATTCACCATAGCTAAGCGATTCTAACAACCTACGTTGACCAGCAAAAGGAAAAATTTAAAAATGTCATTCTAGATTTGTACGTTTAGAAAACTTTCGAAAACTGGTATAAATATGCTCATTGCGCAAGACAAGAATGTTTTTTTTTCGGCTTCAATTCACATGAATTTCCTCTGTTTACGATAACCGTTCGAAAAAAAAGGCTATAGGGAACTTCTTCAGCTTTATATTCTTTTAATAAACACTTAATAGTCAAGCACATGTTTATTGAAACTGGAGCTTGACTTTGTCATATATATGTCATTTCGTGCATTTAATCATTCAGGTGGTTAATATTTAAAAAACTCGCCCTCATTTTCCTTAGAAACTTGGACCGTACTGGAGACCTAATAACCTTCTTGGGCTGAAATCGCTAATATAATGCAGAGGAGCACAATAAGATTTTACGGGGGTCAGTAATTACAGATTCATAACACCTTTGGCACCTGCCTACATGGGACACTTTCAAGGAATTAATAATAACAATTCATAGTCCAAGAAGCATTACTCCAAATCAATCCGTTGCATTAGGTTAAATTTTTCACCTGGTATTATTTTACCAGTTTAGCTTTTTGTGCAAAGAGCCTAAATAGGAAGAGGGAAGTTCATTTCTAATATTAATGATCCTCTTGGCTTGGAACCAACAGTTTCTATCGTAACCATAGCTACAGACAGCGATAAAAGAATACGCATTTGGCTCAATAACACTAAAGTTGGGCACCAAACACCGTTGGATCTTTGAAGGTAAGAAATGATCATACTAATGCATGGATAACTTGAGTTTGGCTTTCATTCCATGATATAAATTTAATATCCACTCTTGACTCCTCTATTTATGTGTACTTGAAATCAAGCGAAAATGAAATTTATCGAGCTTCCAAATGTGGGTATAAAAATCATTTGACGAGAAAACATCTTCAGGTATTTGAAATAAACAAGATCGTTATCCTTAATTTTTAGTTTCCTAAAACGGGATTCCTTTTTGAACCTTTTCTCAGTGATATTTCTTTAAGTTTATAATTATACCCCTTCTCGAAATTGTGGTTCCATCGTTACCGTAAATATAGAAAAGTGCTAAATTATAAAAAGTCAGTGCTGGCGGTTCCAAGCTCGTCACAAATTGTGAAACTGGAAACGACATGAAATTCCAAAGAACGATGAGGGAGGATTTAATGCTGTGACGAAGCCCGCTGTTTGAGTTCAAATTACAGTAAAAAAAATATAGAGTTGACGACAAAAATCTTCTTCATTTGAAATATCCAACTTGTCAAAAACTATGGATGTTTTTTCTCTCTGTGCTTATGAAGATTTTACCAAAAGGACGTAAAGACAGCAGAGTGGCAATAATTCTTAATAAAGAAACCACAACTTTTAGTTTGCAAGACATGTTTCGACATTCTTATGTCATCTTCAGTTGTAAATGCGATTTTAACGGTTGTACATTTGAATTTATATGAGATTACGTTACAAATTACGTCATATTGTTTACGTTACAATTTGAATATTAAATACGAAAAAACGTGACATAGCACGCGCCAGATGGGGAAAGAAGGAGAAAAGAAAAATAATGATCATAATAAGAAAAATTATTATGATGACAGAATCAAAAGGAAAGAGATAACTCTAGATGCTTCAATTGCTGATTAAGGATGGGTTTGTCCCACTTAATATGCAATGCCTCTTTGATCTTAATTTTGTATTTCGAAGCGGCAGAATCTAAAATGGTGAAACATTCTGTACCACAAGAGTCGAGACAGGCCTTTGATGATTGTAGGTGCTTGTAAATGTGTGAAGTTTTGTCAGACAAGAGGTGCTCACGAACCCGTGTACAGATGTGGCGAGTGGTCTCACCAATATAACTGGCATTACAGCCAGCACATGAAAATTTATAAACGACACGCGAACGTAGACCTGGTGGTACTGAATCTTTCACACTGAACAAGTTTCTGAGCTTAAACGTATTGAAAACTAACTTAATATCTAAATCAGGTCTACAATAACGTTTCAGTAGATGCCTTAACTTGGTTTGAGCGATGTCAGAAAACCGCCCAACATAAGGAAGTTTAAAATAATGCGAAGAGGGGTTTCCGGAGTTTAATGTGGCGTTATGCGTGGGAGAAGGATTATAGCTCTTGGCCAGATGTCTTGAGATAATCCTGTCTATGACGCTGGAAGGGAAACAATTTTTCCGTAGCAAGAAAATAAGTTTTTGTACATCCTTGTGGAAACCAACCCAGGAATTATTGATCTTATATACTCTGTCAACCAAAGTTCTTATTAAACCTAATTTGTACATCATAGGAGTGAAGCTAAAATAATTCGTCAGAAGACCAGTAAACGTCTTCTTGCGGTAGACGCTAGTAATTATGGATGGATTACTGTTGTCAATCAGTATGTCTAAGAACGATAATTTCTCATTAATTTCCTTTTCCATTGTGAAGCGAATACTAGGGTGTCTGGTGTTTAAATAATCAAAGAACAATACCGCGTCCTTCTCATTATTGAACAAACAGAAGGTGTCATCGACATAGCGTCTGTAGAAAACAACTTCAGATAATGAATAGTTGTCTAACCAGGTTTTTTCATGATGTCCCATAAAGAGATTTGCAAGTACTGGAGCAAGTGGGGACCCCATGGCAACTCCATCGATCTGATCGTAAAACACTCCCGCAAACAGAAAACCGGTTTCAGCTGTCGCAAAGGCAAAAAGCCTTCTTAGGTCAGCGGTGTTTATCTTAAGACCAGGGTTACCTTGATAAATATACCTAATCGCAATATCTATGCACTCATCGAGAGGTATACTAGTGAATAAGCTCTCGACATCGAAAGATACCATGAATTTCCCTGAGGTAGATAATTGGTTGATTTCATGTACAAAAGAGAACGTGTCGCGGACGTTGTATTCATGTGGGACATGTGGCTCGAGAAGATTACAAAGGAATTTAGATAAATTGTAATTGTAGGTACCTATTGAAGATACTATTGGTCGAAAGGGAGGTGTTTCATTAGGTCCTCTAGCCTTGTGCATCTTAGGTAGCCCATAAAACCTGGCTGGTTGAGAACCAACTGGGTAGATTCTCTCATAGGTATTTTTGTCTAAGTGGCCCTTACTTTTAAGTGTTCTTAAAAAACGTTGTAATTTACCTTCCCTTTGTAATGTTGGATCGTTATCATTAACCTTAAACTTGGAAGTGTCACTGATAATAGATAAAATACCCTGTTCGTAGGCTTTCCTGTCCATGACAACCAGGCCATTTCCTTTGTCAGGTTTCAGTATTACAATGTCCTTGTTCCTCCTTAGATTCTTTAATACCCTGTATTTCTTCAAGTCCGCTGCAGAAGGTTGGTGCGATGAGACGTACGAGTGGGCAAGATGAGAGAGGTCTGCGACAAGTTTGCCCTTTAGTTTCCTGTCGAGTATATTTCTGACCATGGTACGATTAATTAGCTCAAAACAAGAAAAGACATCCGTTTTGCTGATGGTGCTAGGACAAATAGAATGTGAAGGCCCATATTTAAGTATTTCCAGTTGTTCGGACGTGAGATTCTGCGATGAGAGGTTGGTGACTGTCTCCGTTGAAGTAAACGGTAGAACTACGTTTCGCGTTAATCTTTTGAGTTTCTTCTCGTGGGTGGTGATAACTCGTTTCACAGCCTTTTGAACATTGTATTTCACAGTTCGATGGAAAACATATCTATCGATGTTGCTGATAATTCCATTGATATGCACCGCTAATTTGTCTCTTTCTTCGGTTAATTTGCAAAGTTCCTTTCTCCGTTTGGCTATAGCACTTTTTAAGATGCACAAGGCTAGAGGACCTAATGAAACACCTCCCTTTCGACCAATAGTATCTTCAATAGGTACCTACAATTACAATTTATCTAAATTCCTTTGTAATCTTCTCGAGCCACATGTCCCACATGAATACAACGTCCGCGACACGTTCTCTTTTGTACATGAAATCAACCAATTATCTACCTCAGGGAAATTCATGGTATCTTTCGATGTCGAGAGCTTATTCACTAGTATACCTCTCGATGAGTGCATAGATATTGCGATTAGGTATATTTATCAAGGTAACCCTGGTCTTAAGATAAACGCCGCTGACCTAAGAAGGCTTTTTGCCTTTGCGACAGCTGAAACCGGTTTTCTGTTTGCGGGAGTGTTTTACGATCAGATCGATGGAGTTGCCATGGGGTCCCCACTTGCTCCAGTACTTGCAAATCTCTTTATGGGACATCATGAAAAAACCTGGTTAAACAACTATTCATTATCTGAAGTTGTTTTCTACAGACGCTATGTCGATGACACCTTCTGTTTGTTCAATAATGAGAAGGACGCGGTATTGTTCTTTGATTATTTAAACACCAGACACCCTAGTATTCGCTTCACAATGGAAAAGGAAATTAATGAGAAATTATCGTTCTTAGACATACTGATTGACAACAGTAATCCATCCATAATTACTAGCGTCTACCGCAAGAAGACGTTTACTGGTCTTCTGACGAATTATTTTAGCTTCACTCCTATGATGTACAAATTAGGTTTAATAAGAACTTTGGTTGACAGAGTATATAAGATCAATAATTCCTGGGTTGGTTTCCACAAGGATGTACAAAAACTTATTTTCTTGCTACGGAAAAATTGTTTCCCTTCCAGCGTCATAGACAGGATTATCTCAAGACATCTGGCCAAGAGCTATAATCCTTCTCCCACGCATAACGCCACATTAAACTCCGGAAACCCTTCTTCGCATTATTTTAAACTTCCTTATGTTGGGCGGTTTTCTGACATCGCTCAAACCAAGTTAAGGCATCTACTGAAACGTTATTGTAGACCTGATTTAGATATTAAGTTAGTTTTCAATACGTTTAAGCTCAGAAACTTGTTCAGTGTGAAAGATTCAGTACCACCAGGTCTACGTTCGCGTGTCGTTTATAAATTTTCATGTGCTGGCTGTAATGCCAGTTATATTGGTGAGACCACTCGCCACATCTGTACACGGGTTCGTGAGCACCTCTTGTCTGACAAAACTTCACACATTTACAAGCACCTACAATCATCAAAGGCCTGTCTCGACTCTTGTGGTACAGAATGTTTCACCATTTTAGATTCTGCCGCTTCGAAATACAAAATTAAGATCAAAGAGGCATTGCATATTAAGTGGGACAAACCCATCCTTAATCAGCAATTGAAGCCTCTAGAGTTATCTCTTTCCTTTTGATTCTGTCATCATAATAATTTTTCTTATTATGATCATTATTTTTCTTTTCTCCTTCTTTCCCCATCTGGCGCGTGCTATGTCACGTTTTTTCGTATTTAATATTCAAATTGTAACGTAAACAATATGACGTAATTTGTAACGTAATCTCATATAAATTCAAATGTACAACCGTTAAAATCGCATTTACAACTGAAGATGACATAAGAATGTCGAAACATGTCTTGCAAACTAAAAGTTGTGGTTTCTTTATTAAGAATTATGAAGATTTCCTTTCAAAAATGGTTTTGTCTTATCCTCCAAAAATTGATGACTTTGAAAGAGAAGAACCTTGAAAAATATGGAAGTTGGTTTTCATGTCTCCTAATCAGAAAAATGAGTCGGGAACTAATTGTTGGCTCACAGGTCCCGGTAAGTCTGCAGCAGTTTTCTCTAACGAAGGAAAACCTGAAAATGTTTTATAATTTAGAAGGTATTCAATGAAGGCCTTGGAGGCGCTTCGATCAATTTTATGAGGTGTTTTCCCCTGATAATTAAAAAAAAAACAAAAAAACAAAATAAAAAAAAAAGAAAAAAAAAACCAAAAACGCTGAATCCATGGATCGATCTTGTAAATTTGAAGGTGTCATTTCTCAGAAACTCGAAAGAACTTGAATTTTTATGTGACTGCAGTAACGGAGTTTGTTTATCTAATGTTCTCAAGAATATGCTTATAATGTTATTTCCTTAAACGCACTCCATTGACCATAGTCATGGAAATTTGTGTGGCAAAATCCCTGAGTCTAATCTGAAGGTAAACACCGATAGAATTGTAGCTCGCCAAATCCAAAGTCTTTCCATATATCCCAAACGCGTGCCCACGTATTTTATTTTCTTCAATCATTTCAATGGGTCTGGACTGACTGCTATTAATTTAGTTAACATCCCATATTCAATACAAAAGGGTCGGTATTTATTACTTAACCCATTATCGAATGCAGGTGGTGTTATTTCTGTTTAAAAATAATTCATTTCAGCTCGTGTTATTTCCCATCACTCTTTATTTTTATTTGCTGATTCACTATAGTTGATGCTCTGAGCTTATAACTGGTCATTGTGACAAAACTAAAATCCTGAACTCAACAAACATGATTTTTTAAGGGAAGGAACCTTAGTCTTGTAAACTTCTTTTGTTGACATTAATGGTATTTAGAAAGGGTGTGTTATTATAATGAGCCATTGACAGTCTTCATACAATCGAGCCATAGGTCGTAATTTTCTCAGCAAATTTATTGAATTTCTGTATTTTAAGATCAGGCGTTTCGAGAGATTTTCTGTTTGTTCAATCTAAAGAGGTTATTAGAACTCATCATTTATTGATTTTGACGTTAATGAATGTGAGGGAAGATAAAATGACTTATCAAATTGGACTTAAAATTATTCTAGTTTTGTGCGTTCCTTTATTATTTCGAATAATTAGCAGGGCAAAACAGGAATATATTTTGTTCGATGTAGTGAAGCGGGTGGTACAGCTTAACAACTACAAACACGATATTCGAAATTCAAAAAAGAGTTTCTCTTATCAATTTCGTCGAATTAGAACAAGAGACTCACAATCCATCAAAGAACGCGACTTATTTTATAATTTCAGATTTATTTCAAGATAAAGTCTAAATTAAGAATTCATCTTTTTGGAAAATGAAAGCGAATTAGGTTAAATTTTTCACCTAGTATTATTTTACGAGTCTAGCTTTTGGTGCAAAGAGCCCAAACAGGAAGAAAGCAGTTCATTTCTAATATTAATATTCATCTTGGCTTGAAACCAACAGTTTCTATCGTAACCATACCTACCAGAAAGTAATAAAAGAAAGCACGTTTGGCTCAATAACACTAAAGTTGGGCACCAAAGAACGTTGAATCTTTGAGGGTATAAAGTGATATATTTAATGCATGGATAACTTGAGTTTGACTTTCATTCCATGATATAAATTGAATATCCACTCTTAACCTCTTTATTTCTGTGTGGCTGAAATAAAACGAAAATGAAAAATACCGAGCTTTCAAATGTGGATATAACAAACTTTTGGCGAAAAAACAGCTTCAGCTATTTGAAATAAACAAGATCATTGTCCTTAATTTTAGTTTCCTACAAGTGTTTACTTCTTAAACCTTTTCTCAGCGATATTTGTTTATGTTTATAATGACACCCCATGTAGAAATTGCAGTTCCATCATTACCGTAAATAGAGAAAAGTGCCAAATTATAAAAAAGTCAATGCTGGCGGTTCCAAGCTCGTCACAAATTGTGAAACCCGAAACGACAGGAAATTCCATAAAGTGATGAGAGAGGTATGAATGCAGTAACGAAGCCCGCTGTTTGGGTTCAATTTACGGTAAAGAAAAATAGAGTTGATAACAAAAATCTTCTTCGTTTGAAATATCTAACTTGCCAAAAATTACAGTTGTTTTTTTCTGTACTTAGAAAGATTTCCTTTCACAGATTGTTTTGTCCTATCCCTCAACTTAGACCAATATGCAGCTCGTTTGAATTCCGTTCATATTACACACAAAGGAAGAAACGTTGAATTTATGGATCGATCTTGAAAATTGGGAGTTCTTAGAAACTCAAGGGAACTTGGCTTTTTATGTGACTGCATTATTGGAATATGTTCACCTAATGTTCTTAAGAATATTTTTATGATGTTATTGTCTTAAACGCACTCCATTGACTATAATAATGAATAAATTGAAGTTAATGCTATGGAAATTTGTGTAGTAAAATCCCTTTTTCTAATCTGTCGATGAACACCCATAGAATCGTAGCCCCTCAAAACCAAAGTGTTTCTAACAGGCACAAAGGAAGACATTGGAAACTTGTTCATTGGCAAACTTTAAAACGCGTACCCACGTATGTTATTTGCAGGGGCAGGACTGACAGCTGTTAATTTTGTTAACATCCCATTTTCAATACTAATAGGTCGGTTTCTATTACTTAATTCATTATTAAATGCAGGTGGTTGACACGAAATTTGTGGCACACTGAAAGCATCAACACTGAGCTCCGTTGTCTTGAGGAAGCATGGAATTTTCAGCATTTCTAGTATTCGCAGTCTGGACTTCATCGATGACTTACTTGTCGTTTGGTAAAGGTGAGTTGCAAAATGCAAATCATTGTCTATCCCTATTTTCAATTCTATCAAAAACACTTTGTTGTTGTTGAGAAAACAGGAACTCGATAATTTGCATGAAAGAAAAATTGGCGGCTTATAGCCAACTTAAGCGGAGTCATTTTTATAGACGAACAATGCATTTGGAATAGACCACGTTTTCTGATTTTAAAAATTTGTTTACAAATATAGGGTAGCCCGTCTCATTTGTTTTTAACCAATTTTTTGGAATTGAAAAAAACCCTTCGAAGCAAAATCCTTGTAAGTGTCATTTTTTGAAGTGGAGGCTTTAATAGATGGGATGATTGAGATTATCCTTGACAAAATCTTTGCACAAAAGCTTCTACAATTTTCCAATTTTGTGTTCTTTCAAAATTAATCTCACTGCAAGGATACTTTGACTGAAATGTTTTCAAATATATATTATTCAGAATTTTTAAATTTCTTTTGCTATGTTCAAGACACGAGGAAAAAAATGATTGCATAAAACGATGAACAGATAAATGAGTTTATTTCAGAAAACAACCGACGGAAATAAAAAAGTTGACTAGCGGTATATTCACCATAACTAATCGTTTCTAATAAGCTACGTTGACTAGCGAAAGTACAAATTTAAAAAATTCATTCTAGATCTGTGCGTTTAGAAAACTTTGAAAAACTGATAACTCTGCTCACAGACGCAAGACAAGAACGGTTTTTTTTTCCGCCTCAATTTACATAAATTTCCTCAGCTCACGATAGCAGTTTGAATTAAAGAGCCACAAGGAACCATTCAGCTATACATCTCTTTAATAAACACTCGATAGTCAAGCACCTGTTTATATAAGGAAAAAAAATACCCTTGAAGACCATCCCTGGTCAAACTTTTTGAGATATAAAAGGCTCCCTACAAGAGAACTCAAATTAAGTTCATTGCACTGATGACAACGATATCAAAAAAGCAAACACTAATTAACTCCCTTTGTAGTAAGAATTTTGCAGAGTGTTTGATGAGTTCGTTTTTATAATAGACGATATGACAGACTCGGCTAAAATCGTAGGAGCTCTTTGAATTGCCAAATTCATGTGAGCACAAAAAATGCTGTCAAGCTTCCGTACCTCAGAAACAATCAAACTCTCAAATTTAGGTAGTCTTATTTTAATTATAGAAAAACGGCGGAGCGATTTAAAATGTTTTAAGACACATTTAGCGAATCATAGTACTTCTCATAAAATGTTTTGTTTAACTTACGTTCTCGACGTATTTTTTACCATACTTTGCTGAGATCCGAGAATTTTTTAACTCGAAAAATATTTTTTTCGACGGAGAAGTACACCTCATAATCATGTTTCAATTTGTCTATTTTAGAGCGAGAACGCGCAATGGTGTTTCCAGACTACTACTTCTTTGCTGAAAGACGTTTGGTTAAACATACTATCGAAACAAGAAAAGTCGAGAACTTTGATGATTGCGAGCTTTTGTGCTACCTGACCGACAATTGTGTCAGTCTTAACTTCAAAAAAGATCCTGACAAACATGAAGTAGTTCACATCTGTGAACTAAATAACGCCACGCATCTGAAACACGACATTGAATTGGCAACTGATGCCAGGTTTTATTATCGTGGTTCGAAGGTGAGTTACAAATCGATATTTCGACATTATCGCCTTGGAATAATATAAAAACAATAATTAACGTTTATGCAAATTTTCGTGTATTTGATCATTCGTATTTAGTTCCTTCTTCCATTCAATCGCTCCATCTTTCTTTCGTCATTTCATTTTGTTCGTTTCTGTTTCTTTTTTCTCCGCCAGAACGCTTGTGACAAGAGTTCCAACTGCCAAAATAACGCAACTTGCCAGTCTGGATTTACATTCAAGGGATATCGATGCTTATGTCCTCCTGGATTCGAGGGAGAACGTTGTGAAAAGGGTATGAGTCTAAGTCAACACTTGAAATGACTTACATGAGAGATTTCTTCGGATTTTCAATGCTGGTATGAAACCTGTTCTTTAGTTGGTGAAAGTGGCGTGAATTCATCTCATTGCATAAGGTGCTGAATCTTTCCAAAAGAAAATTTCTTACAAGAGTTTATTGAGCGTATGTCTTGTTTTATGCGCTAACTCGTTTTTATATTTTCGTTTTCTTTTATTTTGGTTTGCCTGCTTGCTTGCTGTATTTTTTAGTTTTTGTTTTATTTTTTTGTTTACCTTGAACGTTCGACGCCTTTCTATGGTAAAATAGGAGCAGTTCATATGTGTGTCGAATGCTTAATATAGTAACTGCAAGGAGAGCTCAGAAATAATAGCTTAATTGAAAAGTACGGCCAGAGAACTACTAAAAGCAGGAAGCTACAAATAAATTGAGGTTTTTGCGTATTGCTGAGTTCCTATGGCTCTGATAGAAACCAAACGCTTATGTCTTTAGTTGATATTTTATTCATGTATTTTTTCCTCTGTTTCTTTCTAATTTTACGACAGATACTGATAAATGCGAAGCATTCACTGGCAAATGCCACAAGGAGGCTACGTGTAATAACACATGCGGATCATACGTGTGCACATGCAAATCTGGATTTATCGGAGATGGGCATAATTGTACAGGTAACCGTCAATAGTCTCAAAAGCCTTTAGATTCTTGTTGAATAGTGTAATGAGATTTTGTTTGGTTGGTTGTTTGTTGATGTTTATTTTGGTAACGTGGCAAGCCATGTTTTAATTCTTCAAAATAGGTGAGACAGTTACCTGACTAAAAGTTATTAAATGATAAGTTGTTTTCATCAGGTACGACAATCTCGCGTTCTCGCAATCCAGCAAAGGTTGAAAACAGCCATGGCTTGCACTCTTTAACACGGTAATGGCTTATGCACGGCAATTTTTGCATAATTTTGAAATCCCAATTTTTTCATCTGTGATTTCATAGACGTTGACGAGTGTAAAGGAAACCACTCTTGTCACGAGAATGCAAACTGCACCAACACCATTGGATCACATGTATGCTATTGCCAGCTCGGATATACCGGAAATGGAAAAAATTGCACAGGTGAATTCGGAATAGCAAGGATTTGCGGTCATGGATTATTTCTTTTAATTCTTTCTTACTTTCGTTGTTTTGTGATCCCGTGGCAAAGTAAGAGAAGTTTATGAAAAAAGTCAGCCATCCTGATAGTGAGATACGATAGAGCACGCATATTAATTACATGTGAGTTATTTTATTCTTCTATTTTGTTAAACAGCACTTCACAATATTTCAACGAGTAGTATAAAAAATGTCTTCCATTACTAACGGGAGTCTCCCGTCTGACTTAACCTTAATTTGGTTCATCTATTGCTACTTGCCGGATTGCTCATTCCGAGATTTCACTTTCAATTAGCGAAAAAAAGCTAGAGACATTTCCGAGAAATGATCAGACAGCATTTTTATTATAACGGGAGCAAATAGGTAGTATTTGCTGTACCAACGTGGAAAAAAAGATAAAAAATAGCGGTTTCACTTATTGGTTCAATCCGAGAATCGCATGAAACCAGAAAAGTATAAACGAGTATGCTACTTTTTTCCCACATGTACATATATGACTCTTGAATAAAAACCAAACCCCATTTTTCATTCTTTTCTGGTTTTTTTTTTGACAGACACTGACGAATGCAAAACATACCCCGACAAATGTCACGTAAATGCTACTTGTAACAACACGCACGGATCACACGTTTGCACATGCAAACCTGGATATACTGGAGATGGACGCAATTGTACAGGTACAGTCAATAAATTGAAATGAATTTTTGTTTGTTGTTGTTGTTGTTGCTTAGGGTTTGATACCGTGGAAAGCCAAGTTTTAATTTTTGTTACACAGGGGGAGGCAGTTACCCGACTAAGACTTTTGTAGTGATAACAGATAACTTGTTTGCTTTATTTGAGAAAATTTCTTGTTCTCGCAATCCAGTAAAGGGTTGAAAACAGACATGGCTTGCAACCTTCAACAAGATAATGGCTGATTCACAGCAATTTTAACATAATTGCGAGATCCTTTTCCTGTCTGTGATTACTTAGATGTTGACGAGTGTAACGGAAACCAGTCTTGTCATGAGAATGCAAAGTGTACGAACACCATTGGATCACATGTATGTGAATGTCAGCCTGGATATACTGGAGATGGACAAAATTGCACAGGTGCATTTGATAGTTTTTCTTTAACTGATAAAGAAGCGTTGACTGTGCTCTGTTTTGTTGTAAAGCACGCAGGAAGCGAACGAAAGAAGTGTAGAGAGAAACGCGAGACGTAGTCGAGGAGCATTTACGCCTCTGCTCACGTTAAGATAACGTAAATTACGGCGCTTGGCATGTTTACAAAAATTAAAATGGCTCTTCTGTTGCAACTTGCCGGTTCGGTCATTTCGAAATTTCACTTTCAATTAGCAAAAAAATGCTAGAGAGAAGTTCGAGAAATGGTCAGACAAAGTAGAATTTGGAAGATGGCGCGACGGCTTTAGCTCAGCCCTATGTTTTTTACTTAAAAGTACTCGTTCCTTCTTGGTTGATATTGCTCAACTTCAGATCAGGCCATTGATTTCTTCTTCTAATAAGATGTTTGGCAGCAGAAAAATCTTGCACCTATTGTTTTCTTTCGCCGCGGTAATTTGAAATTTTTCGAGATTTTGCTAGCCTGACAGCCGATTTATCTTAATGCACTACGATGTATACATGGGTGATCGATTCCTAATCGCTTCATATTCTAGTTGATGTCCGATTTTTGAAGGATAAAATTTTGCTCTTCATATAAGAAATAGTTCGAGTATTGCATTTTGTGATATTTAGTTATTTTATACTTGCAGAGACTATGATTTGTTCTATCTTGGTTGTAGGGTAAAGTAAACTTGTTCTTTTTCAGAAGTTGACGAATGCAAGGAGAGTCATAACATTAAAATAAACGAATGCCATCAGAATGCCTCTTGCATTAATACCCAGGGCTCATACCAATGCTCTTGTAATCCCACATACATTGGGAATGGTTTTGAATGCGAAGGTACGTTTGTTTTGTCACAAACTTTTTAACTTGTCAACGTAGTATTGGATAAAATCTAACCTGTTGCTTCTCAGTTGGCCATTGTCTTCCAACTCAAATTCCGTTCCTGCTGAATTAATCTGGATTTCCATCATAACTGTTTTAGCCTCGTCGCGTGATGATATCCTACACATAGGCTACTTGATCTCTTTCTATAGATGCATAAGCATTGTTCTTGTACATGACAAGTTTAACTTAAGTTTAACTTTAGCACGCTGCCAGAAGTATAAGATGTTAGAAAAGACCTTAAACCATTGATCCTAATGACTGAAGTCTTGCTGCAATTTTTTTTTATAATTTTGTAGCCGATCTGCGCTATCATTATAAAAACCTGAGTGCAGCCGATCGAAATAGAATTAACAAAACACTGCTACCTGGACCAATGCTGTTTGACAATTCAACAAAAGAAAGTACTATCTTTGATACCACAATCTTTTCTAATGTTTATTTATTTTGATAGCCGACCCATGTTATAATTATCAAAACCTGAGTGATGCCAATAGAAAGAGCAGTTACGTTACACCGTTACATGGTCCAGTGTTGTGTGACAACTTACTCCCCAACGGATGGTATCGTTTTGTGGGAGCTGCAGGAACAAAAATGCCAACAACTCGTGTACCAGCATTCAGATGTGGGACACACTCGCCTGGCTGGTTACAGACTGCTCGTCCTCAAGTGGAAAAAGGTGAAGTTCACTGGACGGTCTGCTTTAGTGATCGCTCTACTGGTTGCAAATACTCAAACGTGATTCCTGCTAAAATTTGTGGATCCTACTTTATCTACAAACTTCATCACTCACCAGGGTGTAGCTCACGCTACTGTGGTACAGACTGAATGTGAAGCAAAAAATTCAAGAAATAAGAGGGCTCATAAATTGATCCTCGGGTACACGTACCTCAGGGATTTTGCGAAGTCCTGTTTTTGTGTGATAATCATTAATCCTTTCCATATATTTTATACGCTGATGAGGTCTTGGTAACTTGTGCATTCAAAAATGCTTTGAGTTTCGCTTTTCACAAAACATCTATGTCGTATAAATCACAAACGATCAATTGCTACTAAAGAACTAATAAAAAACAAAAATAAAACAGCAGGAAAAGAAAATTCTTAATTAGTGAGATCTTTGACAAGCAGGAACATCAATCAGCACGATAACAAGCAAAATATGACGAAACTCGTTTCTCAAAACGTTAGAAGATGCATACAGGACGCAATATATAGCACGGTATATTAATTTTCGCTTCAGCTTATTTTATAAATTAGATGCTACTTTTGTTAGTGCAAATGATATTTTTAGTCCGATAGTTGCTTTAAAACAAAGCAGCAGTATTAGGTAAAGATTAGTGTGTGTAAATACTATCTAGTGTGAGGCAACAAAGTATGGCATTAAAGCTTAATTGTTTTTATCGCAGTTTCACACTAAAATGGAAAATTTTCCAGGTTGAAGAGTTTTGAAAGAAAAATACTGCCTTTGTTCCAATCCTATGAAACCATTAATCATGGCGTGGAAAAGAAATCCCGAATGCCTCTGTTAATTATTTTGGGTTTAGGTTAGGGTAAGGCTTAAGGGATAGTAATAAAGTCACACACGAGTCCCTAGTCAATTGTCTATCTTCTGTGCCTGAGAAGTAATTTAAATTCATAGCAGATGAGATAAACCCTTGCTAGTTTCTTTATAAACCTAAAAAGAAAAATATATATCATAAATCATTGATGGTCTGCAAAGAGGAAACAGAAAAGGTTGAATCATTTTGTTGGTAAGGTTTTTAATGGAGAAGTTGTACGACTCTCAACAAATACATCTATCTTACCTGGAGCCTTTTCAACTGTGTATCGTAAAGTGAACATTAAATTAAATGCAACCTACATGATGTAGTAAAGATCTGTAGCGGAAAAAACAATAGTGAAATTTCCAGCACAGCCGGGTGCAGTGACTTGTTGAGACTTGAAAAGCCTGAAAACGGATCTGTCCGTTGTGAATGATTTCATAACTAGTTCACTATTGACATTTGAGGTCGATATTCTTCACTATTGACATATCGTGAGTGACATTGAATGTTACGATCGTAAACTAAAGATTATAGAGGAATAGGAGTAAGTCATGACTTTTGACACTGAATTGAAAACGGTTGACTGTCTTAAATTACATGTAGTGCGTACATGTATAAGCTTTCGCAATAAGCACAGCTTAATGCAACTGTACGTGCCCCTTGATTTATTTGCAAGGCAATTCTCGTAACACAATTAATGTTAGTGTTTAATTATCATTAATCACTAAATGGTACCTATATCAGTTGCTGATAATAGTTAAGGGATAGCGATGCAGTTAACGAAAACGGAGGCAAGGAGGAAGAAATTCGCAATGAAATGGGAATGAGGGAATGGCTTATTATCCTTTTTTAGGCGCCTTAAAAAATTATAGTTATAACTAGAAATCTTCCTTACCCATCCCGTTTCCTTCAGGTTGCTGAAAAAAAAATATCCTGAAATCGCTCATTTTTCTAAGTGTCTCTGTCACCGAATAAATATTGAAATATGTGCTTTGCTCACTCTTGATAAAGATTATATTCTTCAAAGCGAAACGTGACGTTCATTGGTGGGCCTCGATATCTCTTTTGGCCTTTTATTTCGTGTCTAAACTTTCCACCAGTGAAGTGAGTTGAGCGCGGTTCCAGATGTTGATTGGGCACATTTAATTGGCGAATTTGGAAAATAGCTGACTGAAAAGATTTATTGTTAAAGGCGTGATCACAGGAAGAAACATTCCACGCTTCGTCACGTCGTGATTGTGCCTGTGATGATAGCTTGATCACAAGGGAAAATAATATATGTGACTTCGCCTATTATAGGAGGCAGTAGCCACACAAATTGTTATTAGAAGTCACGAGTGGAAAGCGTAATCGGACTGGTAATTAGACGTGATTACGGTCTGGGAAGCCTGTGATGATAGCGTGATCACAAATGAAAATAACATATGTGGCTTCGCCTCCTATAGGATGCAGTAGCCACACACACACACACACACACACACACACACACACGCACAAAAAGAAGTTACGAGTGGAAAGAGTGATCACAGACTGGTAATTAGACGTAATCACAGCCTGCAGGGAAGCCGCAAGATACCAAGATGCTTTTGTGAAATGAGCACGCCCCTTGTGTGCTAGTGACTGCTCTGTGACGTAAGAACCCAACATAGCTAGTTCAAACCAATAAATTTAGTTCAACGACCGCAGAACGTACTGGAAGTACTCCCAATGCATCATTATATCATTACAGTCGAGTTCTTCAATATCTTTGGTGGTCATTTCATTTTATTTCGCTCAAAATGTATTTCCGCTGTTAAGCACTAGTCAGAAGCCGTCACTGGTGAAATGGCGTGAGTAGTTCTACAGGCGGACTTTTGATTCGCCAGTTTTTTTTTCTTTTTTTAATACTATTAACAAAATGAATTTGAAACCTCTCTTACTGATGTATTGGGCAAATCAATTTTCAGACATACGGTAAGCTAGGAAAAAGTCCACGTACCGAATCATTCGTACACTTCCCGTTGCCAGAACGGAGAGAAGCATTACTTGTTGCTAGCAGAATATTCGCCTCACCGTTATAGCACCCTACATTTTCATCCATATTTTAAGAACGGCAAAACGTTAAAAAAGTTTTATGTGCTTAAAACAATTGGTCTCAAAACTAACCGAAGTAAACGCGTACAACAAACATGTCAATTATGTTTTGTTGAATTTCCGTAGCATTTAACTCACCAGATGTTTACTATGTGACAGTTTTTTTTCTCTGTGGAAACACACATATTTGGGTTGTACCACGAAAAATCTTGAAAAAAGTAGAACCATTCTGTCGGTATACAACATACCAGCCACTGGATTGTTTTAAAACGACTGAGTGCAACAACCGTCAAACGACCACCTGACGTGCTTGTCATGAATGATGATCTGTAAATCTTATTTAAGCATGTCGTCATAGCCCAGCAAAGAAATACACAGTCATTATATTGTAATTTGCAGACTGGAAATGGATGATTGTCTAGATTTCCTGCTAGGGCGTAAGTTAATTTTGTTGTGTTGACCCGTTAAAATTTTCTTTTAAATTATTGAAAGACATTTATCTGTAAATGAACTTACAAGTTCGCGAGTCCAAACCATATCAATGACCACAGCAACAACTTGGTGCAGTACCTTAAACGAATCGAAGAGTGTTTGATTCCTCTGGGTGTCAAAATTGACAGAGTATTAAAACTAAAAACTCTCGGGGGATAATATAAACAATTGGATAAGTTTGTTTTTCAAATATCATAACAGTGTAACAATTTTTGGCCGGATAATTTGATTTTTCTCACATTTAATTAACAAATAGAGAAGCCTTGACTGTGCTCTGTTTTGTTATAAAGCACGCAGGAAGCGGCTAGAGCACGAAAGAAGTGTAGGGAGAAACACGAGACGTAGTCGAGTGTTTCTTCCCACTTCTTGAGTGCTCTAGCCGCTTCCTAAGTGCTTTATAACAGAACAGATCACAGTCAAGGCTTCTCTATTTGTTTTATAATAAAGAATCCGTTAAATTCCCCATGTATTACTTTCAATTTTCAAAACAAACTTTATTTCCAAAGCGAACAACAGTGTCGTCAGCATGCTCTATACTTTCATAGAGCACGCTACAATAAGCCAATCAGAATCCCTGTTAGAATGGTTCAAATAATCTGATTGGCTGTACAAGACTAAAGCTGTCAAAATTGTCAAACCATCAAAGTTCAAAAACCATCAAAGTTCATAATCTGCGATAGTTTACAAACTAAAATAATTTGGCAGGTCGAATTTAACGCTTTTGCCTGAAGTTTTTAATTCAGAATCTTGAAGTGAAATGTTCAGTGAACTTAAGCCGAATTATGGCTCATAAAAACACGCGGGTCTTTTCACATGACAAGGTAGAAAACAAACTGTTCAAGGCGAGTATTTTTTAAATGAACGACAGCCGAATTCACCGGAACATGAAGATCGCTCGGGATGACTGCGCAGCAAAACACGGCTGCAGTGACCGAAGTGACTTTCCACTCAACACATCGGAAAGGATATCAGAGCGAGCTCTTATTTTTTCACTCGAAGGGCGGCCGATGTAGTTTCTGAGGCTTGCTTTACTGTGATGACCGGAGATCGCCATGATAAGTGAGCTGCGATGGACTTCAGCATGATCATATTTGCTCAGACACCGTCATGATTAGAGATAAGATTTCTGTTTTGTTCTGTTTTGTTTTTGAACTCTGAACTTTATACTATACGAGCGTTGGCTGTGTTTGATTTTCATGACCTTACGTAAGCTTGCAATCTAACTGAGCGTGAAAATCTTTAAAACTCGGAAAGTCTATTTTGTTTTTCCTTTGAGGATTTTCGTATCTGCCCACGTTTTAATAACGTAAATAACGGCGCCTGGTATGTTTACAAACCTTTCTTTGGTTCTTCTGTTACTACTTGCCGGCTCGCTTGTTCCGAAATTTCACTTTCAATTATCGGAAAAAAGCTAAAAAGAAGTCCCGGAAAAGGTCGAACATGGTACAATTATGCAGATGGCGTGACAGCTTTAGCTCAGTTCTATGCTCTATACTCTCATAGAGCACGCTCTTTCAACCAATGACAGCGCGCGTTATATCCGAACTTTATTATAATTCTCGTTAGAATTATAGAAGTTACGTAAAATTTTTCAACCAGATAAGTTTAGTCACTTTTTCCGTGTGGCAAAAATGTACGCTTGGTAAAAAAAAAATTTGAAAGCCACCATACTGCCAACGTTTATTCCACTTTACGGAATTGTGACATAAACTAATTATG